GTTTGTGGTGAGCTGCCTTCTTGAACCACTGCAGCCTATGTTCTGTTGTTTGACCCACAATGCCCTTAGGGAGTGAATTTTAGAATTTGATACAGCGACAGTGAAGGAATGGTGATATATTTCCAAGTCAGGATGGTGAGTAGCTTGGGGAGGGACTTGCAGGTAGTGGTTTCCCAGGTATCTGCTGCCCTTGTCCTTCTGGGTGGAAGCGGTCATGGTTTGGAAAGTTCTGGCTAAGAATCTTTGATGAATTTCTGCAGTGCATCTTGTTTCTGCTTCTGACCGTCGCTGGTGGAGGGACTGGATGCTTGTGGATGTGGTGCTAATTAGTAGGTTGCTTTGTCCTGGATGGTGTCAAGCTTCTTGAGTGTTATTGGAGCAGTACCCATACAGGCAAGTGCTGACTATTCCATCACACTACTGACTTGTGCCTTGCAGATGGTAAACAGGCTTTGGGGAGTCAGGAGGCTGGTGTCTGAAGCTGCTCTTGTAACCACTGTGTTTATGTGGTGAGTCCAGTTGAGGTTTTGGTCAATGGTAACCCCCAGGATTTATATAGTTGGGGATTCAGTGATGGTAACACCATTGACTGTCAAGGGGCAGTGGTTAAATCCTCTCATATTGGAGATGGTCGTAAGCTGGCATTTGTGTCATGCGAATGTTACTTGCCACGTCAGCCCAAGCCTGGATACTGTCCAGATCTTGTTGCATTTGAACATGGACTGCTTCAGTATCTGAGGAGATGTGAATGCTGGTGAATATTGTAAAATCATCAGCAAACATTCCCACTCCTGACCTTATGATGGAGGGAAGGTCATTGATGAAGTAGCTGAAGACAGTCGGACCACAGACACGACCCTGAGGAATTCCTGTCGATGTGCTGGAGCTGAAATGACTGAACTCCATCAACCAAACCAACTTCCTATGTGCCAGGTATGACTCCAACTAGCGGAGAGTTTGCCCCTTGATTCTCATTGATTCCAGTTTTGCTAGTGGTCCTTCATGCCACACTCAATCGAATGTAGCCTCGATGTCAAGGGCTGTCACTCTCACCTCACCTCTGGAATTCAGCTCTTTTGTTCATGCGTAAACTGGTTATCAGTGACCAGGTTATTGCTGTGCAGGTACTGCATGATAGCACAGTTGATGACAACTTCCATCATTGGTGATTGAGAATGGGCTAATTGGCCAGGTTGGATTTGTACTGCTTTTGATGTACAGGACATAACCTGGGCAATTTTTCACATTCTCAGGTAAAGGCCAGTGTTGTGACTGGGAGAGCTTGGCTAGGGAAGCAACAGGTTTTGGAGCTCAAGTCTTCAGTACTATTGCAGAATGTTGTCAGGCATTTGCTTTGCAGTATCCAGTGCCTCCAACCATTTCTTGATATCACATGGAATGAATCAAATTGGTTGAAGACTGAAATATGTAAAGCAGGGGACCACTGAAGGAGGCTGAGATGGATTATCCATTCAGCACTTCTGAATGAAGACTGCTGCGCATGCTTCAGCCTTATCTTTTGCATGAATGTGCTGGACTCTTCCTTCATTGAGGATGGAGATATTTGTGAAGTCTTCTCTGAATTGTTTAACTGTCCACCACCATTCATGACTGACAGGACTGCATAGTTTAGATCTGATCCATTGGTTCAGGGAGTGCTTAGCTCTGTCTATCACTTGCTGCTTATGCTGCTTGGCATGCAAGTAATCTTTTTTAGTAGCTTCACCATGTTGACACCTCATTTTTAGGTGACCTGGTGCTGCTCCTATCATGCCCTCCTGCACTTTTCAGTGAATCAGGATTTTGATCCCTAACTTGATGGTAATGGTTATGTGGGGGATATGCTGAGCCACGAGGCAGATTACATTGGAGTGCAATTCTGTTGCTGTTGATGGCACACAGCACTTCATGGATGCTCAGTCTTGAGCCATTAGATCCGTTCAAAGTCTGTCCCACTTAGACAGCAATAGTGCGACACAACACGATGGAGGGTATTTTCAATGTGAAGATGGGACTTCGTCTCCACGAGGACTGTGCAGTGATCACTCCTAGTGATACTGTCAGTGACAAAAGCATCTACAGCCAGCGGGTTGGTCAGGATGAGGGTAAGTTTTTCCCTGTTGTTGGTACCTTCATCACTGCCGCAGTCCCAGTCTAGCAGCTATGTTCTTTAGGACCCGACCAGCATGATCAGTAGTGCTGCTGCAGAACCATTCCTGGTGGTGGGCATTGAAATTCCCAATCCAGAGTACATTTTGCACCCTTACCTCCCTCAGTGCTTCCTTCAAGTAATGTTCAATATTGAGAGTACCGATTCATCACTCGGGCGAGGATGGTATGTGATAAGCAACAGGAGGTTTCCTTGCCCATATTTAACCTGATGCCATGACACATCATGGGGTCCAGAGTCAAAGTTGATTACTCCCAGGGCAACTCCTACCTGACTGTATACCTCTGCTGTGCCTGTCCTGCCAGTGGGACACGACATATCTAGGGTCAGTGATTGTGGTATCTGGGACATTGTCTGTAAGGCATTCTATGAATGTGACTATGTCAGACTGTTGCTTCACTAGTCTGTGAGACTCCTCTCCCAGTTTTGGCATACACCCCCTAGATGTTAGTAAGGAAAACGTTACAGGATTGATTGAGCTGTTTCTGCTGTTGTCTTTTCTGCTGCCAGGTGGTCTGTCTGGTTTTATTTCTTTTCTGAGATTTCTAGTAATTGATACAACTGAGTGGCTTGCTGGGCCATTTCACAGGGCGATTGAAAGTCAATCACTTTTCTATGGTCTGGAGTCACATGTAGGACAGACCAGGTGAGGATGGCAGATTTCCTTCCCTGAAGGACATTAGTAAGCCAGATAGGTTTTTCCAACAATCATTGTCATCAGTAGATTCTTAATTGCAGGTCTTTTTTTACTGAATTCAAATTCTACCAGCTGCCGTAGCAGGATTCAAACTTGGGTCCCCACAACTTTAGCTGAGTTTCTGGATTAATAGTCTAGCAATAGTACCAATTGGCCATTGCCCGCCCAACTGAATGGTTTTCAGGCCATTTCAGACTGTTGCTAAGGAAAGACCATAGATCACATTGCTGTGGGAATGGAGTCATATAGCCAAACAAGGAGAACAAAGTTCAGTTGTGAAAAAGATGGGGTTTCATAACAATGGATAACAATTTTATGACTATAATTACAGAATTATAAATTCAGCTTTTAAAATACCAACGGTTGTTGTGATGAGATTTGTACCTGAGCCCTAAAAGCATCAGTTTAGGTCTTTAGATTACTACTGGTCTAGTAACATTATCGCTACACCGCTATCTTCTCCTGCTGTAAAGTATTGGGGCAGCAGACATGTTATGCAAACTCAGGAAGTGATTGGGTGGAGTATCAACGTTATGCTGTTCATGTATCTTGAAGAAGTGGCAGGATTGCAGTAATGTCAATGGTCTAGTAACCCAGAGGCCCAAGGTAACGCACTGGGGAAATAAAAACTGAAAGAACTGCGGATGCCATAAATCAGGGACAAAAACAGAAGTTGCTGGAAAAGCTCAGTAGGTCTGGCAGCATCTGTGAAGAAAAGTCAGAGTTAATGCTTCGGGTCTGGCGGCTCTTCCTCAGTGTGTAATGCACTGGGGACATTTGTTTGAATTGCCACTACAGAAACTGATGGAACTTAAGTTCAATTAATAAATCTGGAATTGAAAACTAGTCTCAATAGTCTCAGGTAAGGATCATGAATAAAAACAAAGTTGCCGGAAAAGCTCAGCAGGTCTGGCAGCATCTGTGGGGGAGAAAACAGAGTTAATGTTTTGGGTCCGGTGACCCTTCCTCAGAACACAGGATCATGAAATAGTCCTTGATTGTTGCAAAAACTCACCTTGTTCATTAATGTTTTTTAGGTTAAGGGAAATCTGCCATCCTTACCTGTTTTGGCCTGTGTGTGATTCCAGGTTCCATAGGAATGTGATTACCCTTTTAACTGCCCTCTGAAATGGGCAAGCAAGCCACTCAGTATAAAGTGCAATAACAAATGGACAATAAATGTTGACCGGGTCAGCGATACCACCATCCCATCATTTTTTTTTAGAAAAAACTGGCTTCCCAGTGTTTAAATAGGTGAAATAATGCTGCTTCATCTGGATGATGTTATAACAGGAAGTAATTCTAGATTGAAAAAAAGGTGGTGCTTTTACTAGGGAATAAGAGATACCAATTACTTCAACTAAGCGACACTTAGAAGGTTAACCTGCCAGAAAACCTGGGTCAAATCGTACCTTCTCAACTACCTAATCAACTTGAACCAGTTGATACAAAATATAGAGAAACTTAAAGCAAACAACGTATCCACAGATTGTAGAGACCTCAGAACTGCGCCAGTTCCTGTACACAAGCCTGACTGTGAACATGAAGGGTCTACGAGAATGTGAATACACCATTCGGCTATGTCTGTGCAGGGAGAACAGCGGTAGCGTTTCGAGTCCGATTTGACTTTTCTTCAGAACTCTTGAACTTCCTAAACAATAATTTCTGACTCGAAAAGTTAACTCTGTTCCTGTATCCACAGACGCTGCCGGAGCTCAGAGGAAGGGTCACTCGACCTAAAACCCTGACTTCTCCCCACACGGATGCTGCCAGACCCGCTGAGCTTTTCCAGCAATCTCTGTTCATGTCGCTGCCACAACTGCTGTTTTTTTTAAACTTCAGATTTCCAGCATCCGCAGTATTTTCACCTTTATTTGATAAAATGAAATCGGAAACCTGCGTCATTCAAGCATAGTTGTGTGATATTAGACGGGACCCAAGAATAAAAACCACCTAAAGAGCTTCATCACATGATGGTCCACATTGAGCTCACTCGCTGCTGCTGCTCCTCGCCGCCGGGTAAGGAGCGGCCTGCGCATGCGCTCATCCTCTAAAGATGGCAGCCCCCGTGGATCTGGAGTTGAAGAAGGTACAGGGAGACACAGGAGTCTCATTGCCTCGTGTTTTTATCCTCTTTTGATGACTGATCGCTGGCTTTAACTTTCTTAGAGTAAAAGGCACATGTTGGGGAGGGTTTTAGCATTGATTTGTTTTCGGTGGTCATTAAAAGTGTGTGATTGGTGCAGGCCCGGCTGCGCTGCAAGTCTTGCCCACCCTGTTGAGTTGAAAATCTGCCATGTGTATAATCCATAGACAGCAATAACACGATTTCTGACTTATTTTGGAGTGAGATATTTCTAGAGTGTTAAAGAGTACAAGATTTTATCACTTCCGTGTACTGTTGAAAAGCATTTTTTTTCATGTCAGATCTTACCTGTTGTCATCACGATTATTGTTTACACGTTAATATTTTAAAATTTTGGAAGCGCGCACAACTATAAATCAGTACGATCAGTATCTGGACGACAAATACCGATCATTTTGGACGGGTCTGTTCACGGGTTGTTTGTTTTAAGTGTTCCTATAAATGTTCAGTTTTTAATTTCCTAAAGTGTTTGTAATATTGTTTATTATCTGGATTAACAGAATTTTAATTTTCTTGTCAATTTTTATCTCACACTCAGCATGGTTAATTCGGCAAACTCACTTTTTAAAGTAAACAATTCAATGATCTTTGTGCTCAGGGGACAATGCAACAATAATCAGTTATTCAGCTGTTTTTTAAAAAAATACTTAGGATGAGGGTGTCACCCAGAAGGCTGCATTCACTGTTCATCCCTAGTTGCTTGAGAAAATGGTGGCTTTCACCTTGAACTGCTGCAGTGAATGGTGCATTCATTGTAGTGTCATATAGAGAATTCCAAGATATAACCAGTAACAGTGATATTTTATTTGCGCTGGGATTATGTGATTTGCCGATAATGCTTCATTGCTTCTTTTGCTCATGTGGTGGAGGTTATGGGTGTCAGATTGCTGTGAGTGTAACCATGTTGAGTTGCTATTATGCATTTGTAGATTGAATTTACTGAAGCTAGTGCCTGTGATGGAACAGGTGGATATGAACCACAGTGCCTGGGGGATCTATTTAGTGAATTGTAGCATTGTGAGTTACTTCCACTATCAGAGGTGTGTAGGAATAAATGGTTTATATTAGTACATGTAAAAGTTGTGGGCACAGACTGGATTACATTACAGCTGCAACAATAAAGTCTGTTACTTATGTCATCTAGATGCATCAGTGCTATTGTATTGGCACAACCAATTACTGATGACTATCTTTTTTCTTTCAGCATTTTCCCATATTATGTTGGGTCACCGTACTTTAATGTCAGTCATCCTTTGGGATTTGGCAGTTGATTTTACAGCCAGATGCCCTTTCTGTCACTCACCCTTCTCATTCATCTGGGGGTTGGGAAACTCAGCATGGTTCACCAGGCAAACTCTTACATTTAACCCCTGCCTTGAGCATGTTGGAAGGATTAAACCTAGTTCTTAAAAACTGGGTATTTAAAGAGTAATAAGGAATATCTGGCCATTATTACAAGCCTTTAATCTTGGAAAAACAAACAAAATGTGGGAAAAAATTAGCAGATCTGGCAGTATCTGTGGAAAGATAGATAGAGAGAGAGAGAGAGCGACAGAGACAGGGTTGAGATTTGAGAACACAGACTGAAACCATTATCTTGAATTTCAATTGACTGGCCTTAATTTAGATGTAAAACTGTTCAAGCACATGCATCACTTTTAATGTGCATTAAACATCTAAGTTTATATCTACGGCTGCTATATTGTCTCTTGAGAAATGATAGTAATTTCTTACTTAGGCTAGTCAACTCGTGTGTTTTTTTTTAAATATTAGTTTATTTTCTTGGCTGCTTACCACCTGCTGGAGGTGTGGCTGCCTCATGAATGGCATCCCACCTATGGTAGCTTGTCTGTGTGGTTGTTGTGTCAATAAGGCTATTTTATTGCAGGAACATTATTTTTTTGAAAGACATTGTCCAGCTGTATTATTATTACTACTAAAATTATTGATGCGCTGTTTAATTTGAATGCAAGATAAAAATAATTAGATCCTTGCCTTTTGTCTCTTGGCATCCAGGACTTTAGCAGGATTACATTGAAGTGTTTGGTTTGCACACTGCTATTCACCAAACAGGTCCTCTGTCTCGAGTTAATTTACGCAGGTTCCATCATTGGCACTAGGCTACTAAAAAAACTTAGTCTTTTGTGTTCGTTTCTAGAAATTCATGAAAAAAGAAATGAACTGTGGAATCATGTTTAATTTCTTATGAATTTCTTTTGAAAAGCTGAAAGTTCAGAGTTGTATGTGAAACTAAAAACTTCAAAAGTGCTTTATATAAGGCTATTACAGGTTTTTAAAGGAATGATAAAGTTGAATGCATGAAAATTATAGTTAGGTGAAACTTTAATTTCTCAATCCATTCACTTAGACAGATTTAAAATCGGTCCTTTACGTAGGAACAGGAATAGCTCTCTGAGACTCCTCGGTCATTTATTACGATCATAGCCAATAGAATGCTTTCATTCCTTTTAACCAGACTATCTCTATAACCCATTTGCCATTGGTAATAAGAACTCTTACCAAACTTTACTTTAAATGTACGCCAATGAATGGTCGTCTGTAGCTGTTTGAGGTGGAGAATTCCAAAGATTCACCATACTCTCAGGACTCATGATTTTTTTTTTACTCAATGGCTTCCTTCCTTTTTTTTTTGTTGTACTGTGGTTCTGGACTCCCCAAACAGGACAAACATCTTACCTGCATGCACCCTGTTATCCCTATAAGTATTTTGTAGGCTTTTTTGTGATCATATCTTCAAAATTTTTGAGAATACGTGGCTAGATAAAGATTCTGTAATTAATCTTAATGTTAATAAGTAATGTTAATTTTGACTTGTTAAATCAATTACAGTCACACTTTTTAAATTCATTCCTGTGTGCTTTCCTTAGGCTTTTGCTGAATTGCAGTCCAAGGTACTTGATACACAACAGAAGGTGAAACTTGCAGATTTGCAGATTGAGCAATTAAATAGGACCAAGAAACATGCACATTTAACAGATGGAGAGATATCGACAATGCCAGAAGAAGCACGCATGTATGAAGGTGTTGGTAGAATGTAAGTAACAATTTTGTGATCTCCTAGAATGTAATTAACAATAGAAGTTTCAGCTATTTGTTGTTTTTCTGCATCTTTTCTAAAAGGTGGCTCCCCTTTTTTGTTTCAGAGATAGTAGGAACTGCAGATGCTGGAGAATCTGAGAAAGCAAGGTGTAGAGCTGGATGAACACAGCAGGCCGAGCAGGAAGGCTGACGTTTCGGGCCCGAAACGTCAGCCTTCCTGCTCCTCTGATGCTGCTTGGCCTGCTGTGTTCATCCAGCTCTACACCTTGTTATCCCCTTTTTTGTGTTTTTTTTTTCTGTGCCTTGTACTGTTCCTGAACCAAGAACCCAGGTTCATCTGTGCTGCTAAGAAAAGGATAGGTATTATGACAGGAATGGGGAAAATGAGAAGGCCACGTACTCCCAACCTTGCACATCCTTTGGGGTAGAGCAAGTTTTATGCAGGTTTCTTGACAATAGGAATATATTACTGTAGGACAAACAAAAGAAAATTATAAAGTTCCATAATATTATTAGTATTAGTAAACATGACCATGAAGTTTTTGGATTGTTGCAAAATTCACTAGGTTCACTCGTGCTTTTTGAGACAGGGATCTGCCATTTTTACTCTGTAGTTTATATGTTGTTAATCTTACAACATTATGTGTGATTATTGAACTGCCGTCTGAAGCGACCTAGAAAGCCAGCAAGTGATATCAAATCACCAGAAAAAGAAACAAAAAGCTGGACACACTGCTTGGTTGATGTGGGTGTTGAATCAAGGCACAATTAAAAAGTTAGCTGACCCACTTCATCCTTCAGAGGTCTCCTCACTAACATCTTTGGATTGGTGCTAGAGTTGGGAGAGTTCTTCCACACACCAGTCAAGCTACAGCCTGGCATAATTGTACTCATCTACAAGTTTACACCTCAAGTTCCTCGCATTACCATCTCTTAACATGTTCTGTTCCACTGAAAACACAGTTCCCTGGATGTTTAGGCATTGTTCTAAAGAAGAGAATCGTCTTGAGTTCTTACTGTTTACTCTTGGGCTCAAAAGTCCTCTAGGTTTCATGTCAAATATGAGCAAACAGACCTTTTAAATACCAATTACTGTTGACCAATCAATATTTGGAAGAAAAAGAGGATAGCAAGGACAGGTCTAAGTAGGGGAATCTGAAATGTCCAAAAACAAGACTGACAAATACTGAGTCCCAAAGGACATGGATGTCAGATGGAATTTTCAGTGGGTCATGAAAACTGGAGTCTAAGGGGATAATCTAAGACCTTAACTGTGTTAATTTATTACCAATGCACTTTTCTATGGTCATATTGTTAGGAGAGACCCACAGCACAATCTTTGTGGAGACCAGTCCTTTTACTGAGGGCCTGCTCCACTGTGTAGCCATTAGCTCCATGCAAAATTGGATTGGTTAAGAACAGCTCCAACAGCTCAAAGCTGGTAATAGTATTGGACCTCAGCATCCAATGAATTTGTTATGCATCACAAACTGTGACCTTTTGTCTTGGCAATACGCTTACTCCTCTATCATCATCAAGCCAAATGACCAATCTTGTTTGATGCCGAGTGCAGATTTAGCATGCCAAGAACATCACCATGCATTTCTGAAAATGAGGTACCAACCAGCTAACTACAGTACAGGGCGGCAAGGCTAATAACAACAAAATCCACATGCTATAGACAGAACTAATTGATCGCACAATGAATTAACCTGATCAACGCTCTACAACTCTGTCAGACCCAATTGTGAATTATGTTTTTTATTAAGCAACTAATGAGAAGACTAAATACCACAAACATCCTGTTTTAAATTGTGTTGGAGCCAAGCATGAGATTTGTAACTTGGAGCTATCTTCAGCTAGAGGTACTGAGTGGATGCTTGTTCTCAGCATGACAGCCCTGAGGTTCCCATCGCATTCCAGTCTTTAGCTAACTGGATTCACTCCACTTGACACCAAGACACTGAACAAGGCAATTAAATGAGCCTTGACAGTGTTCAGTTATAGTGCTGAAGGTATATAGTGTAGAACTAGGCATGACCACTGTTATTGCCTGATAATGCATATTGTTACCTAGGTTAGTTGCATTCACAAAGACCAGGATAAACTTGACCAGTGATCAGACATACCAATTTACTCCCCGTCATCACCAGAGTGACAGAAGGAATTGTTGACAATACTATCAAATGCTACTTAGTCATAAGTAACTTGTTATAAGTTTGCAATGAATTGATAGTCAGTTTGGGTTCTGTCAGTACCACCAGCTCCAGATATCATAGAAACTGTGGCACAATTATTGGTATGGGCTGGATTACAGAGGGAATACTCAAGTGATTGCTTTTGATATCAAGACTGCATTCAGCTGCTGAGTGTGCCACTAAAACTAAATTTGGATGGAATCTCGGGAAAATTCTCCAGTGGAGATGTGAATAATACTCAGTGTAGCAGTAAGTTATTAGATGAAGTGTCTTAAGTTCCCTTTTCTTTGAGTTGTTATCCTATCTGGTGTAGCACCAGGCATTACAATAGACTTCCTTGACTAAAAATGTTGAGGAGATAATTGGGATAAAATACTGTCATGCCTCTGGTCCTGAATTGCTGTAAATTTGTCTGTATGTACCATTTTAAAAGCAGAGTGAGCTTGGCTGTGATGTATAATGCTATTCAATTACCATTACTTATGATCTGAGCTCACAAATGAAATATGGCTATGTTGGTGAGGTTCTCCACTCGTGGGGTTGGGGCCAGTGGTTGGCATGGGGATAGTGTTTCATTGGTAAAAATACTTCAAGCTGTTGAAATGATATCAGCTCAACCCTGAGATTAAGCACTATTTTAGTATATGCTGGAGTGTGTTGTTCTGGAATGTACAAAATCGTATCAATTACTTGTTCAGTGTTTTTTTTTGCTCTGTGTGCTTTGGCTAATGGTGATAGATCATTGCATCCCAGTTGTGTACAACATGTCATGCTTGTACCAGTCAATTTGGCTACGTGGTATTGAGATTTTCCTTTGTAACTAATGTAAAGGAAGCAATACCTTTGATATTTCACATAATTCAATCCTCTGAAATATAAAAAGAATGAAAGAAGACACTTTTATTTGTTCATGGGATGTGAGTTTTGCTGACTGGGACAGCATTTATTGCCGTCCCTTGTTGCTCTTGAGAAGCTGGTGATGATCTGTCCCTACACATACTGCCATTACGGGGGAGTTACAGATTTTCACCCAGTGACACTGAAGGAATGGCGATATGTTTCCAAGTCAGGATATTGAGTGGCTTGGAGAGGAACTTGCAGGTCATGGTGTTCCCAGCAATCTGTTGCCCTGTGTTTCTAGATGGTAGTGGTCTTCAATTTGGAAGATGTTGTTTAAGGAGCCTTGGTGGTTTTCTGCAGTGCATCATTTAGATAATGCACACTGCTGCTATTGTGCGTTGGTGGTGAAGGGAGTGAGAGTTTGTGTATGTGATGCCAATCAAGTGGGCTACTTTGTCCTGGATGGTATTAAGCATTTTGTTATTGGACCTGCACTCATCCAGATGTAGGGAATGTTCCATGCACCTTGTAAATGGTGTACAGGCTTTGGAGAGTCAAGAGATGAGTTACTTATTGAAGGTTTCCTGGTCTCTGACTTGCTCTGGAAGCTATGTTATTTATATGGCCAGTCTAGATCAGTTTCTGGTCCAGGGTAACCTCTGGGATGTTATATGGAATTAGTGATGGCTGTGCCAATGAATGTCAAGGGACCATGGTTAGATTCTGTCTTGTTGGAAATAGTCATTGTCTGTCGATTGTGTGGTGTGAATGTCCCTTCCCACTTTTCAGCCCAAAACTGGATATTGTGTGGATTGATCTGCATTTAGTTGTGGACTGCTTCAGTATCTGAGGAGTCTCAAATGATGCTGAGTGTTGTGGAATCATCAGTGAACTACTGCAGAGATGTCCTGGACCTGAGATAACTGATCTCCAACAACCACAACTATTTTACCTTACGTCTGGTATGACTCCATCTCGGAGTTTTCCCCGATTCTCATTGACTCTAATTTTCGTAGTGTTCCTTGATGCCACATTTGAACAAATGTGGTCTTGATGTCATCGGCAGTCACTTTCGCCTCCCCTCTGGAATTCAGCTCTTTTATCCATGTTTGAACCAAGGCTGTCATGAGGTCAGGAATTGAGTAGTAATGGCAGAACCCACTCTGTGTCAGGTGAACAGGTTACTGTTAAGCAAGTGTTGCTTGATAGCACTATTGCTGACACCTTCTGCCACTTTACTGATGATCAAAGGTATGCTGGGGCTGTAATTGGCCAGTATTAATTTGTCCTACGTTTTGTGTACAGCATACACCTGTGCAATTTTCCATATCTGACACTGGTAAATGCCAGTGTTATAGCTGTACTGCAACAGCTCAGCTAGAGGCAGAGCAAGCTCTGGAGCACAGCTATTCGGTATTATTACTGGAATGCTGATGTTCGGGACCTTTGGAAATGATAAAGATCCGCTTGGCACTTTTAGCTGATTCTTGCTGCAAATGCTTCAGCCTAATTTTTTGCATTGATCTACTGGGCTCTCTAATTATTGGAAAAAGGGCTATTTGTGGATCTTCCTCCTCCAATAAGCTGTTTAATTGAGGTTGTAGGCTTGCTCGCCGAGCTGGTGTATTTGATTGCAGACTTTTCATCACCCTGCTCGGTAACATTGGGGAGGAGATGGCCTAGTGGTATTATCGCTGGACCGTTAATCCAGAGACCCAGATAATGTTCTGGGGATCTGGGTTCGAACCCCACCATGGCAGATGGTGGAATTTGAATTCATTTGGAATTAAGAGTCTAATGGTGACCATGAATTGTTACCGATTGTCAGGAAAAACCCGTCTGGTTCACTAACATTGGTTTTAGTCGGTCGTGGGTATGGGATCTTTTACGTTACGTTTACTGATGAATGTAAAGGATCCCATGCCCACAACCAATAAAACTAACGTAATATACAAAATACC